TCTTTGGTGAATGTGCTGTAGCATGACATAAAACCCTAGTTGTAAACAGAATTTTAAAAGATGTTGGACAGGTTGCTAGCGTTGAAGATGAGCACATTTGTTCTCACACTGGTGTGAGATCTGAGATGTGTTGCAGGAAAGAGCAGGCTACTCATGGCAGATGTGAAAACCTGCCTCTTAGAGCCTCTGTGGTTCTGACAGAGGGATGTGAACTCTGTATTAGTATGCTGTATGTATAAGTATTACATCCTGTGTTCTTAAATAGGTATAAGAATAAAGCACTAGTTCATAACCATGACATGTTTTCGTTTTGTGTGCTGTTCTCAGTAGATGCAGCATTGCAATTTCATGGTTCCTGTTTGGGGAGAGAAGGACATTTTTGTACTATATTGAGGGAAAACTAAATTCCTGATTAAATTTAGTGTGTCACTGAGATACCTACTGTTTGTGAAGAAAATGAAAGCTTTATGGACCATTGAAGTGTTCTTAACAGCATTTCAGCAATGCGAGTGCAGTAAAAATGGATGCCTTTTTCTTTCTTGCTCTCATTTTCAATTCTGCTTGGGTATCCCAGACTCTGATGCAACCTTAGCTGACATAGACTATCCTTTTTCTTAATAATAAACAGAAAGGGTCCTTCTGAGATTAAAATCAGGTGTGAATAATACTGCACTGCATTCCCATGGTGCAGCTTTTGTTCTTTTTTCTCGCTATCCTGGGATATAACAGCGTAAAAAATAATCATGCTTTATTTTAGTAAACACATTGTTTTGTTGGCTTTATTTAAATGTAGATATTATGTAAGATAAATGAGGCGGGTGAAAGAAATGAGTTTTGCTCATGAAATGGAAAATGGCAGCATTTTTTATAGTCCTTGTTCCTGCAGAAGTTTCTGTCCCAATCTTCCATAATCTCTGAAGAAATCTTTCTCTCATGTAACAGAATTTCTGGGTTCACAATAGAGAGATCTTGATGCTGTTAAGAGTGAAATCTCAGGTTGTCCTCTGACAGGTGCAGTCAACCTAGTAGATGTTCTGGGCCTAGGCCTCTTAGTATCTCTAATAATCTTCAAATATGTAAGAATCTGCACTAGGAAAGAGTGTTCTTTATTTTCTGTTCTCTATTTTGACCAGGTTGGAAAGGGTATATATTGCAGCATAAGAGACTTAAGTTAGGCATCAATAAGGTATTAACACCAAGGATGGATTGCCTGAAGAGACTGTAGGATCCCTTTCAATGGAAGGCTTTTAAGTACAGGTTAGACAAATACACATTAGAAGTAATACCTGTATAAATTAACCACATATGTGGATAGATGGACTACATAAGCTGGAGATATCCTGTATTCTGTAATTAAGAAAGCTTAAACACACAAAGGATTTTTCAAGCATTTACTGAAGGAAGAAGGAGGATAGCTCTGAGTGATTCCAGTTGTAAAGGGGATATGGAACAGCATAGCACCAAGCAGTCGGACTGCCTGAGCCCACCGATGCAGGAGTCTGAGGAGCAAATATATGAGATTTCTTCTGATCTGTCTATGGCATGAGCTCTTCTACTTTGAATGCTTTCAGAAACCTGCTGTTACTTGCCCATGCACACACACATCACAGAGGTGCACACGTGGATGGCACAGTAGAACAGTGGTATGGTCTATTCTAATCTATTTTAATTAGAAAAAGCCTATTAGAAAATTGCCTGGAGTTTGACGTTAGTGCATGGAAAGTAAGATTTATTACCATTATCAAACAAAAGGCTCAGAAGACTTGTTTGGTGCCAGTAGTTTTATTATTATTATTTATTTTCTAATATAAACATCAGTTTGAATCTAAGCAATATTCAAATACTTATTTGTAATGTCATATATAGATTTAAAAGCAATAGGAAAAAATAACCACTCGGGAGAAGAATTTGATGATGAACTGTAAGTCCTCCTTAGTAATCTGTATGATTTTTTAAAAATAGTCTTTACCTGGCCCCTCAGACCTGTGATTAAAAATGTACATGTAGGAGAATCGCAAACTTGGAGGTTTAGTTTTGATTTATTTAATTTTTTTTTACTATCTTTAGTTCAGAGAAAAAAATGCTATTTTCACCCTTTGATATTGTTCTGGTTTTCTGTGTGTGGATTTAAAAGGCCCCCTACGCTATTTCTAATCATGCTGTTAAGCTGTATGTGAAATAATTAACCTGTTACAACTGTCAAAGACAAATGTGTAATTATAAACGATCTGTGTGAATGAGTGCAGTAAATTAGATTTGTGCAGTTCCGTATTTTAGTGGTGGTATATTAGCAGTGGTCTTACTAGTGGTACTATGTGCCGCTCATAGTGAGAAGCAGTCGGTCAAACTGCAGAGCTTGACAAGCTCTACCTAACAAGGATTTAAACCTTAAACAGATTTCAACTGCAACACAGAAGTCAAGAAACCTTGAATATGTTCTCCAAATTTATATGGAACAGGATTTAAAGCTAGATTAGGGGCTCCATTCAGAATTATGTTGGCCTCCACTTTACATGTTCCTGTAACATAAGCCCCTAGGAATTGCTACCATTGAATTTTCTGGTATAAAAGAAACTTAAGGCATCTGTTGCACCTGCCTTTTTTACTGTTGTTTTGTTGGTTTGTTTTTTTTTTTTTCATCTCCTTGTGATACTCTTTAGATTTTATATAGCTTTTGGCCTTAAATTTTAAGCCAGTTAAAAGGGCTGTAGGGCTGTTTTGTGACTTATGACATGTGTGGTACAGTGAGCTCCTTTTAATGAAACATCTCTTGCTGCCTCCATGTGTGCTGGCCCAGCCTTGAAGGCTACTGTGGTTCCTGCTGGTCCAGTGAATCTGTAGCTCTCCCAACTTGTTCACACAGCAAAGAAGATGGGAGTTATTCACCAGAGCAATGGCATAAAGTAATTTATACTGAGTGGCAGCTAGGATGCTTATTATTGTAATTATCCCCCAAATGTGGACTTGGGACTATTCCCAGTGAGTAGAATGGCTGCAGTTTTCCTGGTGTGGGAGGAAAAAGAATACTAGTGTTGCAAGCCATGCTGGGTCACATCCCCTGCTCTTAGGGACTTGAGAACAAGCCCCAGCTCTGTTTGACCCTCTGGTATGGGAGTAGCTCTGCTGTGTTGCTGCCATGGTGATATGCTCAGTGCTTGGAAGAAGCTGCATCAGTTTCTGCAAATACACTTACAAAACTGTAAAAAAGCTGCATGAGACAACAATCATCTTGGCAAGAGTGATAACCCTTCTGATGAAGAAATGGCTTAAAGCGGTGTCCCAATCTGAATACCTCTTTATCTTTGACACTTAGTTTGCCTTACCAGTAGTATGAGGCAACAAGGCAATGTTTTAACATGTTTCTCTTAAGTTCTATTGTGCATCTGACTGCAGCCTTAGTTCTGGACACCCAAATGCAGTCATTTCTAATTCTTTTCATATGTTGCCATGATTATACCTAGTGTCAGGAAAAAAAGGTCCAAATTTTATTTGTTTCAAAAATAGGCCTTGTAAATGGTTGAAGATGACTTTCCTATGCTGCATTCTTGGAAGATTTTAGGTAATTTATTAGAAAGCACAAACATGAACATATATTTCAAATGTATAAAAGTGTCTATTATGTATTGCATTTAAAATATGCCTCTAACCTAACTACAGCTTATTCTGTGTTACAGTTGGGTAAAAGGATTAATTTCTCACCAAATTTCTGAAGATTTGTTCCTGTTTTTTTGAAGGAGTTGTTTGCTGCGTTTTAGATTTTCATAGACTGAAATAAAGTGCTTATATCTGATTTGTTCTAAAAGGCATGAGCTTGTTTCTTCTGGGATGTGCACTAGTTTGCAAGTTTTGGAAGCCTATTTAAAGAAGTTTTTTATGTATATGGGAAAATGTTCCTATTACTCTGAAACTTATTATATCTTAAACAAAATGTCAGGAGCAATGCAAATACTAAGAAGTTGCTTTTTCAGCTGCAAAGATGACATTGCTTTGTTTCCCTTACACTTTTCCTACTTTCTCACTTACCCATTCCTTCATAAAGCTTTTCTTCTTTACGTGACATTTTAATTACAGGGTGATAATTAAACTTAAGAAAATAACTATGGCAACAGAAGTTAGACTTTAATATTTTTATTTATAGTGTGGTTTTTTGCACACATTATATTTGTTTGAATATTTGGTTTCAGAAAAAAAATATAGTTTCATGCAGCTATGTAAATTACATGCCAGGAGATTGTCTGTAGGAGGTTTCACCTTTATCTGTGGCTTTACATGATTGCATCTGATTTAGTACCAAAGGATTTCATATTGTAGAATAAAATAGTGCTGTGCTGTGTTTTAATATTTAATCTGAGATTATTAAAATGCAGATGATGAGGGCATTGATGCAGAGGGCATTGCCTGTCATACTAAGCAAGTCTCCCATCTTTTCCTTCAATCCCATCTATCATCTGTGAATTATTTTTCTGTATAAGTACTGTAGGGCAAGGACTTGCCAAAGTGTCTCAGTTACTGTGGCAGTCACAGTAACAATGTCAGTTACTTTGTGTAGCAATAAAAAAAAGCCTTTGTTCTTCATTCTGCTTGCAATGACATGTTTTATTTCAGCCAAACACAACAAAACTCTCCAGACTTTTGAGTGCCATCCTAAGTGCGTACTTTACCTGTGAGGCACAATCAGAAAATATGTAGTTAATGTAAGAACCATTATTTTAATGCACAATGCTTTCCTTGTGTTACAAACAGAAAACAGTTTGAATTATGGATCTTATTTGTGACATGAATTATTTAACAGAGCCTGAGAGATTTAAAATACATCTCAAGGTGATACATGAAGGACAATTTTGAGAGTGTTTTCATCCTGAGGTGTGTTTCATGTTGACAGCTATGGCAGTAAGATCTTCAAAGAATTTTAGATCTTATGTAAAAGATTTAGAGTCTCAGGTCATTGACTGGAATGTGCTCACACCATTAAAACTTGTTTTAATCTTAATCTTTTTCAGTCCCAGCAAAGATGCATTGTGATCTTTGCACTGGTATGCTGCTTTGCAATTCTGGTTGCACTCATATTTTCGGCAGTGGATATTATGGGAGAAGATGAGGATGGACTCTCAGAAAAGAACTGTCAAAATAACTGTCGGTAAGAGGTAACAAACAAAACTTCTCTTTTGGGGTGGATAAGAACATATGTGTGTTATAATGGCATATAGTAATTACCATAGTCCTGTAATTGGCAAGAGTAAGCAAAAGGAAGAAATAGTTTCTCATTTTGGATTTCTGGCTTTAGAGATAGGTTTGACAAAATAGAGCATGCTTTTTGAAGTTATTTTTGGTGGTGTGTTTTGAGCAAGACCCTTGTGTTAGTACAATTATTTTGTAAGCCTGGGTCAAAGCCCATTAAACTTCAGTAAATGAGTACTGAGGTGAGTTGTGTAGTTCCCTATTCTGTCATGTCTGTCTTTCATTAAGAGCTGCTTTCTTTTTTCTTCAAGAAGGTCACTGACCTCTGTTGACCTTAGGCTAATGTTCCTTTTATATAGGGGGACCTTTTACATATTCCTGTTTTTTGTACTCCCCTAAGAGACACAATTGCTTGCCTAGAAACTGTGAAGAAAATTAGTAATATGGTCAGAAAGACTGGAGCATTGGCTATTTTGGGCTCAGATTTGCCTCTGACACCTCCACAGCTGTGTATATCTTTTAACTTTAGATTTCAGTAGATGATGAGATTTTGGGAACCTTTCATTTCCAGACTCTGAAGTTCATTTTGCTGCTCCTCATTATCAGGTTCCTTCATGAATCTGTTCATCAGTGATGACCAATGCTTTTCCTGCATGCTGTTGTCCAAAGTCACCTTCTGTCCACCAGTAAAGCTGATTTAAGAAAATTTGCAGGTTTCATTCACAAGTGGATTGCTTTTGGTTTGTGGGATTTTTTTGTTTTGTTTTGTTTTCTTTTTTATCCCCAAGGGTTTTCCTTGTATATAGAGCACCGTCTCTGATTCATTTTGAGGGAAAAACTAGGCATCCTTAAATAACTTCTCAGAAACCCATTCTAATCTAATCAGGGAATTGCTGGAGTTGGAAGGGGCTACAGTTTTGGGCATCCTCCAGTCCATGAGCATGTTCAGAGCAGGATTAGCTACAGAAGCTTGCTTGAGGATGTGCAATATTGGGCTTTGTGTAGCTCCAAGTATGGACTCCATAGCCTTCCTGGGCCACCTGTTCCATTGTTGGTTCAGAGTCAACCAAGCTACCAATGGCTGGGTATGTAGTGTTTTGGACACAATTTATATGTATTTTTTAAAATAATCTAATGAAATATTAATGTTTCTTTGAAATAAGGAGAGCGGTCTTCTTATTTCTGCTATTCCTTGTTGATTTTGTATAAAAACTTTTCGGAGACATTGCCATTTTATGTTGCCTTGTCACAGTGCAGTCAGCAGCAGTTCACAATCCAGCAAATTAATTGGATTATGGTTTTGCAGTAATATTGGAGTTTTTGCAGTATTTTTTACATGCTGCTGCCTTTTTTTTTTTATTTTTTTATTTTTTTAATTTGAGAGGGTTGATTCTTTAACTCTGTAGCTCCTTTCAAACAGGTTGCCTGCAGCATCGGGTAGCTTTGCCCTAAAGCCAGCTATCCCGGCACTGTTTTTTGTTTTTCCTCAACGTTGTTTTGCATTTGTAAAATGTCTTGGCCCTAATCTGTTCACTCTTTTGTATGCCTACAGTTCTGGGCAGCCTTCTGGTATCTTGTCTGCATTTCCTACGTTTTTTTCAGCTAGCCTGCCTCTCCGCATCAGGGCCTTAGGTAATCTTCACTGTGAGTTGTTGCCTTCCAAAATTTTTGAAGATACTGCATGTATCACCTTTACACCCACTATCTCCGTGTGTGAATCTTTGACAGAACTAGGTCAGATGAGGGGAGATAAGTTTTTCTGTGCATTGGCTTCTGAGTGCTGCACGCAACTTCAGCACATGCAGCAACTACTGCACCATGTTTTCCTCTTAGTTGTATCGACTGATGGCTCCCTTTTTGTTCTCTTTGCCTACACAGGCCTAGTCAATGAAGAACTTAGGCTTCTTTACTTTGTATTCGTCAAATGGTAAAAAATTTCAGAGTGGGGGCAATGTACAGTGCTATGGAAAACCAAGATACTATTTTATCCAACCATAAGAGATTGTCTATTTGTATGGGTTACACACATTTGCCTTTCCAAAGACTACTCACCTTTGCTTAGCTTTTTCTTCATTGGCGTGTGTCACTCTTGTCTCTCCTGTCTGTTATGAGAGCCTGGGAGTAAATCCAGCTTTAAAAGTAGGAGTCAGTTAAATTGGTCTGCACTTAACAGTGATAAAAGTGATCTCAGACCTCAGCTCTATTTTAAGGTGCCTTTCACAGAGTGATTCAAGTCCATGATCTAGCCACTAATGCCTGAACCAGAAGGTTCATCAATGCTCTGTGTATAAACTGCCTAAACCTTTTCTAATAACAGTATTCAACTGCTGGCAGCTGCTACCTGCGAACATTGAATCCTCTGTGTGATGAGGGCTCCTTTATGTGTTTAATATATTGCAGACTTAACTGAAGTGCTGCAAGGTCAGTTTCTGCCTGTGGTATATATTTAGTACTTGGGGTAAGCAATTCTAATATGTAAGACAAGAATAATTGAATACTTATATTTCTGCTGTGTGAGTACTTTCACTGAAATTCAGGAACAGGCACTTAGGTTTGGAGGATATGGTAAGACAGAACAGTAATAGATGGTCGTACTTTGGTTTTGTTATATGAATTGATTGTCAAATAAAACTTTATGATACGTGAATCCTTTTTTAATCAATCAAATTTGTGAAGAAGCTTGATGGGAAGGGAAACTATTGATTAGAGAAAAACTTCACTGATGATTTGTTAAAGACTTTTGTCTTCTGAAAATCAATTTAATTTCTGTCTTTTTATTTTAAAGGAAAATATGTCTGAAATAGATCTGTAGTCTTTGGCTATAAATTTTTGGAGCTTGTGCCAAAAAATAGCAAGTGAGAATTTTCTTAAAGGAGGAGAGAGAGAGAGAGAAAGTAAAAGGAAGATACTGTTAGAAGTCTAGAGGTTTTTGTAGCCTGAGAGAGGAATCGCTGAGGTATGTTTTCCAGTGAAGCCTATGTCTTTTTTTGCTGTGATTGTACTGTTGTTCGTGGATACAAATGCAGTCTTTCTGATCTGCTTCTGGTAGTTCAACATGATGTTCCTATTCTGTTAATCATTCCTTAACTCTTATTACATAAGGAATACTTACTGCATATGTTGCCCGAAAGACCTTACTCTTTACTGATGTATTTTATTTCTCTCGGGGGCTTTGTACCAAAAACAAGTGATGGAAGTGGAAAAGCAGCCTGTTTCGCATGTCTTCTTTGATTGTTGACACCCATCTAAAAAGTTGCATAGGAAATAGCACTTTTTAAAGAAATGAAACTGTTTGAAAGAAAAGTTGTGATTTGTAATCTTTAAGCTGCTTGCTGAAATAATCAGTTAGTGGTTGAGAGCTGACATGTATCTGCCTTACAGGTCATTTGTGACTATCACAATGTGAAGCCATATTGCTGGAGGCTGCAAACCATTTCCCATTTTATTTGTTAGACAGAGGAACTTGATATTCAATAACACTGAGTAGAATATTCAAGAGGAACTTGAATATGTGAAATGTAAATAATAAATGTCTTTTTTTTTTATTTGAAATGTAGATACAGAAACTTAATTTTTTTAGCCTCCTTTACATGTTGTAATCCAAAAAATACAAATAGGAAATGTAATATCATTTACATCCCTATCCTAATAATTGAGGGCAAATATTAGGACAAATAAATATTCTTGTCAGATTAACTACCAGGCATCTCTGGAAAAATTACTGTATCTTCTACTGATACATACATTGCAATGCAAATAAAGATGAGGGAAGATCTGTAGAATTTATCAGGCACAGAAATTCTGGCTTCAGAATTGCAGTCGGAATCTGAATTCTACTGACTAGGGAACTGTATTGGTTTAGATGCAATAATGTTATTTGTACTTATTTACACTGTCACATATAACTTTCAAACTAAGATCTTATATGTGAAGAGACTGGTTGACTGAAAGTAGACTTCTTAATTTATTTTTTTATGACTGGACCAGGTCTGCTGAGAGGCAGCATTTCATTTCAGAGGGTGCTGCACATTCTTGGCTTCCTTCCACAAAATTTGATTTCAGAATTATGGACTTAAAAAATACAAATGTTTTTGACTCTTCCTATTGAAAGGAGTGTCAACCAATTGACATTTAAAGAATAAAAAAAGCAGAAATGACTGTGAAAAGCTTTTGCACTTCGTGTTTGGTTGGGATACAAATAATTCTCTTGAGACATCCACATTAATGTTGTTAGGCAGTCCTGATGAATGAGACTGCTTAAGAGGGTATGCTTAGCAGTCTGGGAATTTTGCCTGTCTTGCTGTGGGTCCATTAGATGCTGCAGCTATAAAATTAGATTATTATAATTTGGAAATAGTACTTTTTAATGGCTGATCTGTTGTGAATAAATCTTGGCCTCTGGTATAACGTCAGTCAAGGCTTACTTGGCATTGTTGAAACTGGCTGGTAAACTAAAAATAACAGTCTGGGAAACAGAAGAAATTACAACTAGTAAGAGATGGTCTTTGTTACCCAAAGTGTTTGCATCGAGGTTCAGCATGCCTCTGCTGCTTGTTCCTACTGATAGTCATCCTAGGGCCCTACAGAGCTTGCATATGCCCTTAATTATCTTCATCTCACTGGCTTTTGCAGTATGAATCAAAGCAGTAGTAGCAGGTGGCATAGCTCCTGCCTCTAGCTATGGATTTGGTAAGGTGGGAAAGGAAGCAATGGTAGCTGCTTTCCACACTTCCCATGTCAGGGTGTACAAAAACTGTTGTCATAATGATTTTTTTTTTCTTTTTTCCTTTTTCTAGTGATAATGGGAGTATTTTCTTGGAGTGTGTGTGTGTGCGTGTGTGTGTGTTCAAGAAGGATTCTGTCTTGCATTCTGCTCCAGTGACACAGTTTTGATATTTTGATCATTTCTCTTGTTCTCAGAGTAATACAGAATGAAGGCATTTGTCCTTTTCTGTTTGG